CCTGAAATCCTATCGTCACTGGGGTGGGAGAAGCGACTCCAACCGTGATGTCAAAGGATTGAAACTCGAATCCTGGCTGCCCGGGGGTACATTATTATACAACAAGTAGCGAGAAACCACCAATAACGGGCCAGGCGGGTGGGTTGAGCTCAAGTTTACCGGGCCTAAAAATCAAGGCCAGATTGGCTGATATGAACCGAACACTTCGTGTGCGGAATGATCCACATGGTCAGCTACACTCGTTGCTGGTAATGAGGAGAGTCCGGAGAAATCTCGAGAAGTCTTGTAACAAGACTCTTGTTGCTTTCCGTAGAGAGTAACATACTTGGAGTTGTGTGTAAATCTAAAGGCTGCAGTGAAAAAACTAGGTTTCTGAGTTTCGAGAGTTTCTGAAGCTTCCGAACCCAAGAGAGAGAACCGAGCATATATTCCTACATTGCCTTAATGGGCACTATGTCAACTTGTACCGTTAAGATTTCGAAGTGGCGCTAGCAATCACAAACCGAGCCAAGTTGATAGTAGGAAAGTTTCTTGCATTCACTGACGTAGTCTTTAGGGCAGCAGCCCCCTTTGCACGAGGACACATTGCCACAGTTGGTGTGCGTAAATGATACATACATTACTCAGACGGATAACTCATCCATCGGTACCCCATCGCGTGCTGATTGGTGAGAGCCTTGCCCCATCCGGTCCAAGGGAAAGGAGCTCATCAGTGGAGGTTCTTCACTGGAGGATCATCAAAACTATCCAACACAAGACCTATCTCCCATCACGAACATCATGTACTGTACATGATGTACAATACACATTGTACATCAGCATCACATCAGAAATGAGTATTGAATATAAAGTGGACCCAAGAGTCACTCCGTGTTCAATCCGAAGCCTCCGTTGGTTGCATCGATCTGGGCTTTCGTAACAAAGACTGAGTGGCCTTCCGATATTCATCACAGATCTTAGACATGATCTCATCACCAACTTTCTGAGCTACGACGTTCGGGGGATTAGTGATTCCAGCGAACTCCTTCTGTAGGTCTGTGGCGATCTCTCGACACTTCAGAATTCCTGATGATGTCACACGAGAGGGTTGAAAGGCTCTACTATTGAAATCCTTCAACGGATCTTCGACTTTAATGTAGTGAAAACCAGCATGAATATTCTTATCAAAAACCGTCGTGATGAGACCATTGATCCTGAGAAAATCAGCAATAAATCCGAGACTCGTACTCTAAGTACGCCTGTACTATTGAACAGAAGCAGCCAAAGTCAGCTGGATCATTTACGTCTCAACGGAGAAGTCCCTTCACGTTTTATAGCTTACACCAAATATGTAAAATCATCACAAGTTATTCCAACAAGATTCTTCGCAGTCCCTCCGTTCTCCTTAGAGGACCGTTCATACATAAGGCTGCGAGGCCCGGCGTCAAGGAAACACATCCAACCTTTGCCGCGGAGATCATCAAACTTAGAGCTTTCGATTTTATACACTATCTGACACCATTGGAGAGCGGTAGAGATATATCATTGAGGGCTCATACCTCCTTAGGTGCTTCATGGAACATGGGGGCTATCGCTCCGTATGCTAGCGGCTCATTAGCCATCAAACAGACGCTAATCTGCATCCAAATGGTGGAAGTTTGCATTATGGCGGATTAAGATAAATCGTTCTGGTTGCCTGAAATTGATAGACGGTACTTTCTGATGAGTGGAAGCTCCTTTTATTCGACAGAATGATGGGAGACGTATGAAGTGTCCTCAAGCACCGAGCGGGAATTTATATTGGAAGACTGCGTCTTCGTGCGGTACTGGCGATCCTTGCGCGCCGGTGTCTCTAGGAGAGTGCTCGAGCCACTTAGTTATCCTCACGACGGCCGATCCGATGGCCGGGCTTCTCGACTTGAGAACCCGAAGAGTTTTCGCTACACTTCGATATACTCAACGAATTCCTCCTATGCATTGTAACGCTGAACATTCCACGGTAGAACAATCATGCAATGGTAGTCGACTGTAGCATAAACACAACTGGTGCGGAGCTTATCCCTCTTTGGACACCCCAAAAAGTTCCTCACGAAGCGCGACCTTCGTACCCTTGTTGAACAACGTTGTTACTGATACCCGATACGAATGATGCAGACACTCAAGCAGTCAGAGCACTCGATTGCGGATATCCTCCAACTTTTTCATCACTACTTGAAGGGTTTTGTCCATCATGGACAGGTGAGCAGCGACAGATTGCCGTGGATTTAGACAGTCCACCGCTGCTCACCTGGCCTGGTCCTCGGTACTGTTTGCATAGAATTGCTCCCCACTGAGATTATCGGATCCTATCAAATATATCGCAGAGAACCCTTCGTGCAATCTTCCCTATTTGCAGGACACCAGATCGCGACCGTTCACATCTCCCCGAGCTCGCTAGCTTGGATGGGCAACAGCGTCTACACCCCAGGTATACTCCTACGGTAAGAGTATACCTGGGGTGTAGACGCTGGTGTCCTACTCCTTTGGTGGTTATATTTTGACGAAATTACATCTGTCAAATGCTCGTCAACGCGCTTTTG